GAAGATGAAAATGCTCTTTTGTATGTACAGGAGGCATGGACTTGTGAGAGGAAGCTGCAGTTCTAAGGGCAACCTTGAATATTTGGTCTCAGGTAGCAGAAAGTGGGGATGGTCTGGGAATATCCTACCCTGTTCCTTACCCAACATCTTAGTACTCAGGCATCGGATTCCCAGGGCTCATTTATTTGTTCCTGTATTTACTTAGTTTTTTGTTGTGTTCATCTGTGAAAGACTCTTTGCTTATAGGATAAAGTACCATGTGGATTGCCAGAACAGTCAGCAACTATTCATGTTGGGGTTGACCTGAGTTCAGATACCAACACCCAACCCAAGTTGGGAGGCTCTTAGCTATGTGCTACTCCAGATCCAAAGGACTGACACTCTCTTCCCATGTCGGTCCTCTGTACACACATGGAAGACATCCTGTTTCTCTCACACAAATGTTCACATGAATGGGATTACATATGTTTTCAAAAGTGCTTATACCCTATAAAGTAGTTAGCTTAAAGCAAGTTGTTAAAGCTTATAGTACAAAGCATATACTGTTTTTGAAAAATCTTTCAATTGCATTTGGTTTTAAAAGTTTGCATTTCCTTACCCTGGTACAAACTTGTACCATTGGAAACAAATGATTTCTAAGTGATTCTAAAACACATGCTTTTCTTTACCGTAAGTGGAGGAGATACTTTTAGTAGTCAATATTATTATCTCCAATATTGAAACATTTATATGCTTTAAGCAAATCTCTCCACTGGGAATAGTGTTCCCCACCCCAGTTTTCCCCAGTCCATATTCTGTTATTAGCAAAGGAGAGTACCAGAGTCCACAGGGTTAGTAATGGCCAGTGATTTCTTTGAGTTTGATTGTGACTTTAGTACCATAGTTCTTGTTTAAAGGGCTGGGTTGTATTTACAGGTCTGTCTTTGTGTCTAATCAGTTGTACCTTGTATGTTGTATGATTTTTTTTATTGAGTATAATCTAATAATAATTGATATTCACCATTTTTTTCAAAATTTATTTTGAGTTTCTTGAGTTTTTGTTTGTTTGGGGACTTTCTGTGGAAAAACAGTTTTAGTTTTCTCTTCTTGATTCTAATGACTTGCCTCTCCTCGTTTATTACCAATCCTATGTTTTTCTGTTTTTGTAGTCATCAATGTTTGTGTTCTTATTACTTAACTGATTGGTGTGGTTAACACGTTAGTTTAGGTTTATTAAAACATTGTCATATCTTATTTTTAAATCTGTTCTAATTAGCTTCAGTTCTCAACATTTTAGAGTGTGTAGTCCAACGAGGGAGGATCAGTTGATGGTGTGCCCTCATCATAATGGCTGTTTGCTGTGTCTTTGAGAAATTGTGTTGATTGATGATTGATATGGGAAGGCACTTCCATTGAAGGTGGCAATATCCCCTAAGCAAGGGGCCCTGGGCTGGATAAGAGAGCTTGCTGAGCATGGGACAGTGACCAAGCTTGAGAACAAGTGATGAAACAATGTTGGTCCATGCCTTTATTTTCTAGCTTCAGTTTCTGTTTTAAGCCCTCAAAATGATGAACTGTGATCTGATAGAAGCATCCAGAGAAATTGTTCATTACCTCAATAGCAAGTTAGAATGAAAAAATGGTACATACAAAGGGATTTTGATGCTTGACAAAACCTAGGAATATTTTCCATTAGCATTATATGGAAAATACAAGATTTGAGATGGTCAAAGGCATAGAAAGCTGTACATGTACCTTCATCTGATGTCCTGTAGGACTTAGGAAGATTAGAATATTAAGACTAATGCAGACAGAGGAAGTTGATGTCATAGAAATTCAGTGGGAAATAAATGCTATGAAAATTTTAGCTAGAAATCATGTGTTGTATTTTGGCCACAAATGTTTCTTACTCTGCCCATGCCCCTGAGGAGCTGAGTAAGGTAGAATTGCAGGATAATTGTCTGATTTCTTAGTTGTAATATTGAATCTGTTGGATGTTATTCCTTTACTCATTCAGGGTGATAGTGGAAAAAAGAGCAACAAGTGGTATAGATAGAAATGCAAAGTCTGTGGTTTGTAGAGAAAAACATGCTAGGTAGTTTCAGATGGCAGTCAGTGCTGAAACAGAGGCAGGAATTTTCAAGAACATTATCACCATTAAAGGAAAGGCCATTGCATTGGATTGGAAGCCTAAGAAAGTGCCAGTACGGAGGTCAGGCCTCTATCCCTGCCTTTGCAAGATTAGAATCGCCACAGCCCTTCTACACTTAGAGAAGGGAGGAGATGTCTGGGGCAGCCCTGCTTATACACTGAAGGCCTAAAATCAGCAATAGGCCTGTCATACATGTATGCTAACACCAAGTCTTGGATCTCTGTGGAAAAACACTGAAACAGATGGCTATAAGCTATTATAAACAGGCAGCTTTTGTGGAAATTTACCAGCCTGAGTAGTCATAGACCTTGTAAGTAGGTAGCCTTGGCAGATAATACCAACTTAGATAAGGACAAGTGAATCATAGGCAGAGTCATAGTGACCTGTCCCCTGAACCTTCACCCAGCCAATACCCTGTTCTGAAAGATCTATATTCCCCCTGAACACTCACGCTCCAGTGTCATCCCCTTCCCCACGTCCTGCCTTTTTGTGTTTATAACCCCTGTGTGAATAAGTAAAAATTACGATTTGAAAAGTAAATAAATAAATAAAATAAAAAAAGAAAGTAAAAAAAAAGTGCCATTAGCGTAACAGTCCCTTCTGCTACGCCTTAATAGTAATGGAAGAAGTGGGCTAAGTGATTCCTAGTCCAGGTAGGTCATATAAAACCTGCTACAACTATGATACATATGTGGCAGTGTCCATCCCATTTTAGAAGCCAAACTTCACAGACTCACCCAGATTGTGTTGGTTCTGGAAACAAGATGCAAAATCACGGTCATGGATTCTTTCTTTCTGGTTTCAGTTCAGCACTATTCTACCCTTCTATGTTTGACAGAGTCAGAGCCCCAGTGAAGATACTATGACAGTTCCTTGCATGGTCAATGGATGATGCCTAGTTGCATTTTGAGACCACACGATGTTGAGATACCTAAGCTATGAGAATCTACCATGGAGAGAATATACATATAGGGAATGGAAGTACCAAAACTGAGAGATGTATGAGAAGTTGCAGGGATAGAGCCATGTAAGCACTTTGAACCTGAAGCCCCTTGTGGCTGAGACAGAGCTACAGGATTTAGTGTTTGCCCTGTTGGGTTTCTTGAGTTAGTCTAATGTACACATTCTTCTGTATTGGAATGGAAAGGGTTTGTATGTGTGTGTGCCATATTATGTTCAAAAAATATAATTTGTTTTCTGATTTTCCAAGATGTGGCAGTCAAGAGATTGCTTTAGGTGTCAAAGGAGTCTTTGAACATTTGAACACTCTAGGGGATGTTGTAGAATATAAGGATCATTGAATTTAGACTACATGTATATTTATGAGAGGATGACCATGAGCCTATAGTGACCAGAGTCACAATGTACTCATTACACTCAACCTGTTCCTGTACTTTGTCTACTGTGTTGTGGTTGAAACTCATCAGTCAGCTTCTTTCTTCTGCTGTGATATCCTCATTTTTATAGATTCTATCGATAAGGCACATAAGATACAGTAGAAGCTGTTGTTATTCAGTGCTAAGGTATTTTGCTAGCCTGACATTTTTACATTTTTTTTAATTTAATTTAATTTTATTTTATTTTATTTTATTTTACGCTCAGGTATTCCTGTATGGTCCTGGCTGTTCTGAAAGTAGGTTTGCAGACCAGGCAGCACTGGAATTTAGTGAAGTGTCTCCAGAGTGCTATGATTAGATGTGGGGCAAAATGCCTGGCTTGTTTTATTTTTAGATTATTAAGCTGATGGGCTTAGAAGTAGGTTATGTACATGCAAGCATACGCTGGTATACTGAACTTCATCCACACTTGAATTTTGAAACTTGGCAGAGAGTATATTTCTCATGATATCATGTATTCATGACACTAATACTACCAGCTGTTCTGAGATTGCAGCTATGTGGCATTATTGCTACCTGTGGGGTATGTTACGAATTTTTTGAATGACTTTGAGTATTTTCCTTGTATGTATGACTATGTACAATATATGTGCCTGATGCTCACTTAGGCAGAAGATAGATGACCTCAGAACTCCTGAACTTGGTACAATGGATAGTTGTGATCTATCCTCCGTGTAAATATTGGCAATTTACTCCAATACAAGCAATACCTCTGGTGATCCACTTCTTCTGCCCTGTTTCTAACTCATGATCAAGATTTATAGTGCTAGTGTTTTTATCTGTCCATCTATAAATGTTTAAATATGCATTTCCTTTTATTAAGATCTTAACTAACTTTACTGTTGAAACTGGGTCACTTGAGGTTTTTGAAAGATGAATACAGATTTGCAGTGAATGTATAATTTTTTGTAGGAACTTCAGTGAAGACCTCTGAGTTCTTTCTATCTTATGGTTTGATTGATTGATTTTTGCATGGGAGTTAGTGTCCTAATACATACCTGTCGCTGTCCTGGGACTCATATTTTAGACCATGTTGACATCCATCTTAATAACATATACCTGTGTCTGCTTCCTTACTAGTGGGATTAAAGACATGATTGAATATAGCTAGAATGTTCATCATTTTTAAGTTAATAATTATTCATGCAATTTATCTGATGTGTTTGCTCAGTACTATTGAACTGTTTGCTTGTGTGCCTTATGTCTATTAATTATCATTTCACTTGCAAGGCTTTATCCTATTCAAGGGGTGCAGAAATGACAGAGGTGAACTTCATTCATTATTCAGTGTCCTTCTAAAATGCCTTGATTACATTAGAGCATTTGTGTCAGGAATTAAGTACAGGAATTACCAGAATTATATGGCTGTATTCTCACTGAAGTATATATACATTTACAGTGTTCTCAGTAATATGTTTCCTTATGTACACATGTACTGTGTATTTTAGGGTAGAGTGACCTATGATGATGTGCATGTGAACTTCACTCAGGAAGAGTGGGCTTTGCTGAATCCTTCTCAGAAGAGCCTCTACAAAGATGTGATGCTGGAGACCTATAGGAATCTTGCTGCTATAGGTAATATAGTGAATTTCCTTTCACTTTTTAAAATGTAGCGACAAATGTTTATTATTATTATTATTTGTTCTTGTAATTTCAATTGAGAATGAGGAAGAATGAGGTGAATAAATCAGACATGGTTGTAAAATTCACTGAAGTTAGTAACTTAAATTTTGCCTAATTTGCAATAGTGTAACATATGGTCTTTGGTACTATATTCTAGGCTACATTTGGGAAGACCATAATCTTGAAGAACGTTTTCAAAGTTCTAGAAGACATCGAAGGTAATTTCCATGTGCAAATTGATAAAATATGCTCTGGAAGAAATTTTAATTTTAATATGTCCTGCAGGTTTTAAAAAAAGGCAACAAGGTAAAAAATAGCACTGCTTTAGTTTATGGATCATTATTAAATTCTCACAAAACCATGTGTGTCAATGTCAGGTATCTTAACTTGTGTTTACCAGGCATTCCTCTAAGTACAAAGACAAGGAAACAATGCTTTAACAGATCTCACATTTGAATCACAGCCCAGTAGAGCTATGCTGTAGGACTGTTCAATCTACTACCACTTAGACATTGCAATGAATACACATTGAGTAGGTGATAAGTGTATTTCCAAAACCTTCTAATAAGGAAATAGTCCATACTAAAGCTGGTATTAATCACTGCCAAGTTTAGTGAGATGGGTAGTTAGAAAGCCAAGGATGCTCTTGTGGAGAAACCTTAATCCCTGTACCACATCTGTATGAGGGAAAAAGAAGTCAAACTGTGTGAATGCGAAGTGAAACTCTTTTACTTGTTAATTCTCTTTTAATAGGGATGCCATAAGTCGCAATAGGTATAAGCCATGTGAAAATAGGAATATTGAAAGAAGCAAAAAGCCGGGCTGTGGTGGTGCACACCTTTAATCCCAGCACTTGGGAGGCAGAGACAGGTGGATTTCTGAGTTCGAGGCCAGCCTGGTCTACAGAGTGAGTTCCAAGACAGCCAGGGCTACACAGAGAAACCCTGTCTCAAAAAACAAACAAACAAACAAACAAACAAACAAACAAAAGAAGCAAAAAACTTCCTTGTCTTCCAGCACAATTTGAAGATATGTAGAACTCTCCAGTTTGAGTAGACTTTCTAAATGTGCTACAAGTTTACTAATAGTTTTCCAACTTTATTGGGGGTATCTACAAAATCACACTGCAGAAAATTTCCATGAATACTAGGGATGTGGGAAATTTTCTGTTTGCCTTGGTTCACTTTGCAAATGTAGAATTACATGATAGCAAGGTTTATGAATGCAATCAGTGTGGTAAAGTTCTTCCTGTTCTCTTAAAATAATGTGAACAACCTCTTATAGAAAAAAGTATGCTATAAATGTGAGCCATGTCATCAATGTTCTTCCCATCCCATGTGTCTTCAAAGATGCACAAGAATCCACAATGAAGGAGAACTCGGATGTAAACAAAGTGATAATACATTAAGATCAGGTTGTTCTTTACAATTAGACCAAACATATTCACACAGATGAAAAATTCACCTGTGTCTTGAGTGTGAGAAAGGTTTCACATGTGCCAATTATCTTTGCAGGCATGAAAGAATTCATACTGAAGAACAATCCTCTGAGTTTATTCAATGTGGTAAAGCCTTTGCATTTCAGAGTCATAACCAAAGACATGGAAGAATTCATACTGAAGAACCCTATGAAGGTGTCCAACATTGTGAAGACTTTACACATCACAGTAGTCGCAAAATACATAAAACAACACTTGTTGGAGAGAAAACCTATGAATGTAACCAGTGTGGTAAAGACTTTGTATCTCACATTTCTCTTCAGAGGCATAAAAGAGTTCATAAAGGAGAGAAACCGTATGAATGCAATCAATGTGGTAAAGCTTTCGCATGTCAAGGTGGACTCCAAATGCATAAACGAATACATACAGGAGAGGAAACTCATGAGTACAATCAAAGTGGTAAAGCCCTTGGATGTCAAAGTGAACTACGATATCATAAAAGAACACATACAGGAGAGAAACTTTATGAATGTAATCAATGTGGTAAAACCTTTGTATATCACAGTTCTCTTCAAAAACATAACAGAACACATACTGGAGAGAAACCCTTTGAATGTAACCAATGTGGTAAAGCCTTTGCAGGACACAGTCATCTCCTAAGACATAAAAGAGTACATACTGGTGAGAAACCCTACGTGTGTAACCAATGTGGTAAAGACTTTGCACGGCACAGTTCTCTTCAAAGGCATAAAAGAATTCATACAGGAGAGAAACCTTATGAATGTAATCAATGTGGTAAAGGATTTGCATGTCAAAGTGGTCTCCGAATACATAAACGAACACATACAGGAGAGAAACCCTATAAGTGCAATCAATGTGATAAAGCCTTTGCATGTCAAAGTGGTCTCCTGTATCATAAGAGAACACATACTGGAGAGAAACCCTATGAATGTAAGGAATGTGGCAAGGCCTTCATACATCACAGTCATTTTCAAATACATAAAAGAACACATACTGGAGAGAAACCCTTTGAATGTGACCAATGTGGTAAAGCCTTTGCACGAAACAGTCATCTCCTAACACATAAAAGAGTCCACACTGGAGAGAAACCTTATGTATGAAAGCAATGAGTTAAAGACTTTGCACAGTAGTCTCCAAGTGGATAAAAGATCACTTAACCGGAAAGAAACCCTATTAATGTAATCAATGTGGCAAAGCCTTTTCATGTCAAACTGGTCTCTTGTATCATAAAAGAACACATACAGAAGGCAAGTCCTATGAATGTAATCAATGTGGTAAAGCCTTTCCAAATCACTGTAGTCTCCAAATACGTTAAAGAACGCATACTGAAGACAGACACTTTGAATGTAACCAATGTGGCAACGCCTTTGCATAGAATAACCATGTCTTAAGACATAAAAGAATACAAATTGGTGAGAAACTGAATGTAATCCATGTGGGAAAGCATGCCAGTCGTATTCAAAGGCATAAAAGAAACCATACTGTAGGGAAACCCTGTGGGTATATTTTAAGATGGTGAATCCTTTGCACATTTCTATAGTCTTCACCATCATGGAAGAAATCCATACTGGAGTGAAACTATAAAGGAATTTAAGATGGTGAAGTCTTTTCAAATTTTACAAGTTGTTATCGTCATGAAAGTATTCGTACTATAGTCTATGATGTAAGCAATGTGGTAAAGCCTTTGAGTTATGGGGTCCTCTGAGATCCAACACAACTCAAACTCATGTAATGCAAATGACTAGAATTTATTGTAATCAAGCTGCTGGTGATGGATCAGGGCCAGAGAACATACTTGAATGCTGAACTGTGAAAATCCCTGCACCAACCTACCTATACTGAGCCAGCATGTCATAGAGCTTTTTAAGTTTGAAAACCAGGAACATCTGCATGAAGATACAGCTACATTTTCTGACCAATCAGGATTTAGGGATAGGTGCTTTCCTCATGTATTTTTCCATGCCAGGTGATACAGAATGTGAGTGTTATAGTCTGACCAATCACATCCATTTGTTCTTTTGTGGTTAGGAACCTGTATTTTATTTTGAGGAACAAAAGATGAATAGCAGAAGACATTATTTGGGACAGTCATTATGTTTTCAGGAACAAAAGGTGCATAACAAAGGCTGCTCCACTGTTTGGGAGTCCCTAACTACCTTAGGACCTGGGAATTTGAACTTAGTTTCACCTTATGATTAAATGGGAGCTGATGACAAAAAGGCAATTCTTAGGACATGTTTCTTTTGCTTGTTCCCAACATTTGCATATCACAGTTATTTTTGAATACTTAGGAAAAAATCACACTGGAGAGGAAACCCTACAAATGCCATCAACACAATTATATGCAGTTACTAAAAGAAACACATAGTGGATAGGAATCTTATGAATATGCAGTTGATAAATCATTTGCATGTAGCAGTAGTCTGAAAAAATCATGAGAAAAACTGATACTGCAGAGTGGTAACATTTTGTACTTCATGGTATCTTCATGCAAGAGTAAAACATTTTAGTATATAATCCATCTTTAAAGACTTTCCATATCACAGTAGTCTTTGAGGACCTAGAAATTCATACTGAAGTGAATCTGTGACTCTGAAGGATTTGGTAATATCTATAGCTGAGACACATTCAGTTACACAAGATTATTTTTCTGGAGAAAAAAATATGACAAGTCTCAATCTATTCAAGCATTATAATATGATATCCCACTTTATTTTGTTTGCACTTGGCAAATTCAATAATCTCTGTTTATTTTGTTTTGACTCATAATCCCAGTTCCCTTTAATTATGTGAAATTACTCACCCAGGTGTAGAGCTTTATGGTGTGTATTAGTCTTTTCTGTCATTGTGATAAAACACCGTATATAAAGGAAGTCATAAAAGATTTTAATTTGGCTTATGGTTTCAGAGGATTATTGGATAACCACGGAAGTGGCAACACAAGTGTCACAGATTCCTTTCAAATGTTGTGATGTGTTATCCACCCTGGCTTGGATATCAGTAGTCAATGCTATATTTTAAACTCTTGGTTCTCATGTATCAAACCTGAGTACAAGTTAAAGCATAGATCATATACTCCGGTGTGTCCTATTTTGTCAACAGATTTTAAGAATGATAATGTTAAATGCTTAATAGAGAGAATACAACAAACATTACATCCTTCATATGTGTCCAGAACAGCATTGTCATGTGTCTGTAGAGATGCAGTGAGATCGGACATTCAGCAATCTGTATATCACAGGATAGCTTGATTGCTATGGATATCCATATATGGTTGGATGTCTCATGCTTCTTCATGGTCCCATTAGTTACCATTTGGCACTTTATCTTGAAGTATGCCATCAAAGGGGGTTATCTAGAGATGTTAAATAATGTAACAGCACTGAGATTTATTTTATTTTCAATAAAAAAATTTTTATTGGATATTTTCTTTACATTTCAAATGTTTTCCCCTTTCCTGGTCTCCCCTTCAGAAACCCCCTATCTCATCCATCCTCACCCTGCCTCTATGAGGGTGCTCCCCCATCCACTCCTGCCTCCCTGACGTGGCATTCCCCTACACTGGGACATTGAACACCCTCAGGCTGAAGGGTCTTTCTTCCCACTGATGCCAACATGGCCATCTTCTGCCACATATGCAGCTGGAACCATAGGTCCCTTCATGTGTACTCTGGTTGGTGGTCCAGTCCCTGGGAGCTCCAGGGGGTCTGGCCAGTTCACACTGTTGCTCTCTCCATGGGGCTGCAAACTCCCTCAGCTCCTGCATTCCTTTCTCCAACTCTTCCATCAGGAACCCCTGTGCTCAGTCCAATGGTTGACTGCATCCACCTCTGTATTTCTCAGGCTTTGGCAGAGCCTCTCAGGAGACAGCCATATCAGGCTCCCATCAGCAAGCACTTCCTGGCATTTACATCTTTTTTTTTTAAAGAATAATTTATTTTATGTATATGAGTACACTGTTGGTGTCTTCAGATCCCCATATAGATGGTTGTGAGCCACCATGTGGTTGCTGGGAATTGAACTCAGGACCTCTGGAAGAGCAGTCAGTGCTCTTAACCACTGAGCCATCTCTCCAACCCAAGATTTATTTTTAATAAAGCATTTATATTCTGTGTGTGTGTGTGTGTGTGTGTGTGTGTGTAATGTGATTATGTGTTGTTAAGCCATGACAGATACGTAGAGACTGGGTAACAGCATCATAGTGTCTACTTTGGCCATGTTTATAAAATGATCAAGGTCAGGTTGCCACCATTGTATGCCATAGACATTTCCTACTGAGCCATCTCACTGATGCCCAAATAAAATTAGCTCAAACATTACGTTAGTAAAATATCTTCTTTTCAGATTGTGAACAGCAAGTCATTTTTTACTATTGTCATTTCCATTAAAAAAAAAAACCCAATCAAAATTGGAGTATAGAACTAAACAGAATTCACAACAGGAATCTCCAATGGTAGAGAAGCACTTAAATGTTCAAAGTCCTTAGTCATCAGGGAAATGCAAATAAAAACAACCCTGAGATTCCACCTAATACCAGTAAGAATGGCTAAGATCAAAACCTCAGGTGACAGCACGTGTTGGTGAGGATGTAGAGGAAGAGGAACACTTCTCTATTGCTGGTGGGATTGCAAACTGTTACAACCACTCCGGAAAAACAATCTAGAGATTCCTCAGAAAATTGGAAATAGATTTATCTAAAGATCCAGTATAGTACTCTTGGGCATATACCCAAAAGATGCCCCATCAGGCCATAGGGGCATGTGTTCCACTATGTTCATAGTGGCCTTGTTTGTGATAGCTGGAAGCTGGAAACAATCTGGTTGTCCTGCAGCAGAAGAATGGATACAGAAAGTGTGGTTCATTTACACAATGGAATACTACTCAGCTATTAATGAACGAGGACATTCCAAGTTTTGCAGGCAAATGGATAGAACTAGACAATATCCTGAGTAAGGTAACTCAGAACCAAAAGGACATGCATGGTATATACTCACAAATAAGTGAATATTAGCCCCCCCCCCAAAAAAAAAGTACAGAATACAGTCCACAGAAGGGTAACAAGCAGAAGGGCTCAAGTGAGGATGCCCCAATCAGACTTGGTAGGGAGAAGAAAGGATTCACAGCAGGGGAAGGAGGGACCTGGGTGGGAAAGAGGACAGGCAAACATCAGGTATTGGGTGGGGGGAAAGGACTGAAGCCCTGAAGGCCAGCAGAAAGAATGGAAACAGGCAACCTTGGGAAGTAGGAGGTGGGGGAACTCTCCAGAATGTACCACAGGCCTGGGAGGTGGGAGATTCTCTGGACTCAAAGGAAGGGACCTTAGATGAAGTGCCCTACAATGGGGAGAGGAAACTTGTAGAGTCTACCTCCAGCAGAAAGACAAGGCATCAAATGAGGGATGGGGTTGCCATCCTACAGTCAAAACTCTGACCCATTTAATTGTTCCTGTCTGAAAGAACTACAGAGATGGAAATGGAGGAAAGCCTGAGGAAAAGAGGTCCAGAGAAAGGCCCAAATTGGAATCTAGCTCAAGCGGAGGCCCCAAGACCTGACATTATTACTGAGATTAAGGTGTGCTCAGAAAAAGGGGCCTATCATAATTGTCCTCCGAAAGACCCAACAAGCACCGGAAAGAGTCAGATGCAGGTATTTACACCCAACTAGTGGACAGAAGCTGCTGAACCCTGTGGTTGAATTAGGGAAAAGCTGGAAGAACCTAAGGGGTAGGGCTACCCTGTAGGAGGACCAGCAGTCTAAACTTACCTGGGTCCCTGAGATCTCTCAGACACTGAGCCACCAACAAGGCAGCATACACCCGCTGATATGAGGGCCTCAACACATACACAGCAGAGGGCTGCCGAGTCTGGACTCAGAGAAGATGCATCTAACCCTCAAGAGACTGGAGGCCCCAGGTAGTGGGGAGGGGGTAGGGCCATCCTCATGGAGACAGGAGGGAGGGAGGAGGTATGGGATGTGGAGTAGTCAGAGGATGGACCAGGAGGGGGATAAAATCTGGACTGTAAAAAAAGATTAAATAATAATAAAAAAAAGCACATTTTGGGGAGCAGCATCCACAGGCAGGCAAGAGAGTCAGGAACTCTCCTGGTTCAGTTGTTCAGAAACCTGTCTGAATACCAAGCTGCACATATGGTACACATTTATGGGGTATGGGTGTGCACTACTGTTCCATGAATGCCCTTTGGTTGGTGGTTCAATCTCTCAGAACCCCTAAAGGTCCAGATCAGTTGATTTTGGCCTGCTTGTGAAGTTCTTATCCTCTCTGGGTCCCTCGGTC